GAGAAAATCAGAACAGCGACAAATATTGCGAAAAACAGTCGTACAAGAGACGGAAAATACGAAGCCTCTTATCGTGGCAACAACGCACGATAAGACACTTGTCAGCGGATACTAGTGGAGAAGGAAGCTTCAGTGGGCAAGGAGTTTTCCACGGAACCCTCCCGGGACGCAAATTAGAAGAGATAAGAGCGTTATCGCCGGAATATCACGGGAGCGGAGGCTTGGTCCCCCAGAGACTGTTTATGTGAAGGAACTGTATAAAACTGACTTTATAGCTACTTGGATGTCGTGAAACTTTAAATTAACACCGGTATAACTTGATATTTTAGAATATGAGTAGCTAGAAAGAGGAAAGGGTCAATCCATCTCTAATTTTTTTTTTTTTTTTTTTTTTTTTATAAGACTTTAATTGTTTAAAAACAATCTGGGTGAAGTTAAAAATAAAAAGTTAAAAATCAGTCAGTGTTTTTTTTTTCTAAAAAATAGTCTTTTAACTTAGCCTTGAAAATACTTGGTGTGTCAAATAGGCTGATATCGCTGTTGGAATGGAGTTTGTTCGAGCTCTTTACAACCCTGTTGAAAAACCACTGGCCATAGCACGCTCGTCGACTGCTCGAAACCAGGAAAACCGGTTTTTCTGAACTACGTAAGTTGTACCTCATGTCATATCTAAGAGTAACATAGTTCCATATCAAAACATCCTGTTTTCCAGCTAAGAGAGCATTGAAGAAAATAAGGTCCAGGTACTCCAGGTACACATCAATGGGCATCAGTTTACACTTTGTTAGTCTTTCTCTGTAAGTGCCAGTTGTGACCCATTTTGTGACACGAGACACCAGAACATCCATGCTTCTCAACTCTGTTTGACTAGGATACCATATCGGAGAGCAGTAACACAAGGAGGACAGAATATAAGCTTTAACCAGTCGAGTTTTAGTTGATATTGGAGTAGCAAATGGAATCGTTCGTTTGATAGAGAAGAATATGCTATAGCATGTCTTGATTTTCCAACTAATATGGGATCTCCAGTTTAAGTTTTTCGATATTTTCACACCCAAGTCTTTCACATCACAGCTGTCAGAAATGATATTCTCGCCCAGTGTTAGATGATACGGGCTTGGTAAAATATGTTTGTTAGCAAAGTGAATTAAAACGGTTTTATCAGTATTGAAGGTCATACCGTTTGAATTTGCCCACTCAACGCATCGATCGAGGTCCCGCTGTAGATCTTCTATGCTAGAGGATCTGCTTTTGCTGTCGTCCGCGAACAGATACATACAAGACGTAAAACAACTATCTGGTAAATCGTTGATAAAAATTATGAACAAGAGGGGACCAATAATCGATCCTTGTGGTACCCCGCTTAGAACATCGATAAAAAAGGAATAACGGCCGTCTATTTTTACGCATTGCTTTCGATCTGTGAGGTAAGATGCCAAAAGAAGTAAAAGTTCCCCACCGATGCCAAAATTACGTAGTTTCTGTAAAAGGATGTGATGCGGTACTTTGTCAAACGCTTTAGAGAAATCCAGATATACGGCGAAAACTTGATCATTGGTATCAAGTGCTTTGACAATATCATGCAAATAGAGTAAAAGTTGTACCTGGCAGGATCTTTTTCATATGAAACCGAATTGATATCGCGATAGACGTTCAGCCACGAAAGGATAGAGTTTGTTATAAAGAACCCGCTCGAAAACCAAAGATAGTTTAGAAAGAATACTGATAGGTCTATAGCATTTTATGTCACATTTGTCACCTGATTTGAATATTGGAGTAATATAAGAGTTTTTCCACTGTGAGGGGTATTCGCCACTAATGATAATACTATCAAAAAGCTTCTGTACATGAAAAGTTATTTCACTGGCAGAGTTCCGTAAGAAAGCACCGGGTACATTATCAAAACCTGTGCCGAGTGATGAATTTTCCAGAGCGGTCTTCACGTCATCGAAGTGAATAGAGACACGGTTGAGTGTTGATTCCGAAAAATCACTGAAAGTTCCAGTGACTTTATTAAAAACGTCACCAAAATGACGGTTGAACGCACAAGCAATACTGTAGCTGTCGTTAAACACATTTTCTCCGAACTTCATCATTTTTGGTAGGTTGATTGATTGATTTATAGTTTTCAACAGTCTGTAGCAGTCGTTTGTACTAGAGTTTGTGGACGTGAAGCTTTCAGTGAATATAATAGTGTCAGTTTCAATTGAAGCTGCCGACTGTTGCTTAAGACGCTTTACTGTACCATAGGTAAACTTGGACCACTGCTTTGACAGTCGTCTTTCTGCAGTACGTAATTTGTTGAGAAGATGAACTGAATGCGAGGAATAAAAATACGGTAAGCTGGCGCGCTTTCTTCTGATAAAAGAGCTGTTCACATCAATGATGTTGTAAAAGTAATCAAGCCAGTGATTCCGATAGCCCGGGTTTGTTACATCAAGCTCTACCGAAAACAAAGAAGTGGATAACGCATGTGAGACATCAGCATAAACATTGGTTTGTAGACGTTTGTTGGTAACTGAGTTGGTTTTATTACAGGTTGTTTCACTTGTCGTAATAAAGTTTACCACAACACCTGTATGATCAGAAAAGTTAACAGGATGACTCGAAACTTCTGAATAAGAGAGGTTTGTAAAGACAAGGTCCAGAATATTTCCACTAATGTGAGTAGGGAAGTGAACAATTTGTTCTAGTCCAATATCAAGAATATGGTCAATTACTGAGGAAGAATCTGTGGTTGTTGCTGTCAATGTATCCCAGTTGGCATCAGGCATGTTAAAATCACCACAAATGATTATTTTAAAACCTTGTAGTCGTGAATTTACGATGGATTCAATTTGATTCATAAGAACATCACAATTAACTCGATAATGACTGTTAGTTGGAGGGTTGTAAACGCACATGACCGCTATACTCGAACTGGGTATCAGAATGACTGAAATAAAATCGACATTTGTCGGAAGAGTAATATAGTCACAGGTAGACTTGCATAAGATAAGAGTACCACCGTGTTCGCCAGTTTCTCTGATGGAGTAAGAGGCAATATTGTAATCCGTTTCCATGAAAATCATACTTGTTGGATCTTTGTCTAGCCAAGTTTCTGTGACACAGACAATGTCCGGGTTAAACAGATTTACTTCTTTTATGAAAGAAAGGCGTCTACTGAGTGTCAACAGGCTACGGGCATTTTGCAAGTAGAGTGTCAAGTTGTTTAGTCAGTTCTTGTCACATTTCGTTTCGATACCATCAACATATAGTTTCGTTTCGGATTTTTATTCTAGATTTGTCAACACCCGTCTGAATAACCTCATGTCGTTTGGCTAGGAGCTGTTTTTCTACATCACGATCTGCAGGAGACAGCTCATTCAAAATAAGAATGGAGTCACTTTGGTAGAGTTTTCTTTCAATTGCTTTCGACCTGATGAGTCGCGCGTCCCAGATCGAGCTGAACGAGACTATAAGTGGCCTGTTACGAGTTTTATCGTATTTGCCAGCGCGGAAACAGTCTGCTACGTTCGCGTTTTTGATTTCTAGTTTTCCCAGAATATTCTCGATAGATGTCTTGTCGTCAAACTGTCTAGCATCTGTGAATTTCTTCTCGCTCTCTTGGATACCCACTATTTTCACACGATGTTTATAGGAGTCATCACTGTGATATGTTTTTTCAGATGAGTCCACCTCTTGTCCAGTGGCCTGTTTCGGCGCAGCATCGACTGATTTGAGGGTGGTATCAAGGTTTTCGAGTTTTTCGGCTAGTTTATTTACAGTGGCAGATAGAGAAACAATAACCGACCGGTCTTGACGTTGTTTGAAGCAAGGAGAACAGTACCAGCAGGTAGTCGTCAAGGTCTGACTGTTACACAAAAACATATTAAAATAGGTTGTTCGAGCCGTGTTTTAATGACAATCACGTATTCTGAGGATCCGAGACTCAGCTATGTGGTTGTGTTCGCATGTAAACGAAAGCTGATCAAAAGTAGTTTGACTGATGGCCTAAAAATAGTAACTTTTTACTTAGCCCTAGACAGACCAGAAAATCAACTGGCAAGGTCGAGACGGTGAAAAGCGAGTAGGATTAAGGTAACTGACGCCTGCCAGTCGTTGATAGGTACTTTTTTCTACGCTCCGTCGCTGTGTAGTATTTGGGCGAATGTTACAATGCAACCAATTTTCCAAGTTTCAGGAAAAAACGTATATGGCCCTATCCAACCTGTGCACTGACCGTCGCATGACGGAAAAGCCCTTTCCGCGAGAGGCAAAGAAAAAAAATTAAGCTGTGTTTAGGGTGAGAGACTCTTAATCTCTAGGTCGCAGGTTCGAATCTCAGACGTAGTCGAATGTTTTGCTAATTCGAGGCTTATTTTTACTTTCTTATTGCACTATATTGAGCTGTTTTTTTTGTGGTGTTCTCCCTAGTGTTTGCGATGCTTCGCCTCTTTGTTAAATCGGAAAGAGCTGTTGTATGCTATCGGCCATCTATCGAGTTAAATTACGAAGATCTAAAAGCCAGTAGTTCTGGAGACTTGGATATTTTAGTTTTAAAAGGTAAAATATTGTTATTGTTCAAGTTTTTGAAATACGAGTTATTGGAATCCCGGGTCATTGTTGGGATTGAATTCATTTCGTCGCTTTTCAATATATTTTATATATAAGCAACTTTCACCTCCCTCAATCTGTTGGAAGTACCGGAGGTGCGTTCAACGATAGTAGTTTTATTCGGTAAATTTTTTAAAGTTACTATACAGTCCTGATTCTAGAAATGGTACTGGGGATTGCAATCAAAGAAAATCTTGGTTCGCTTCCCAGTGATCACTCAGCTTGCGAACGATTTCTTATATACAGATTTCGATTTGATTTTGATTATTTAAAGCTTGGAAAACGAGACTGTAATTAGATAAATTTTGGATTTATAAAGATGTGAACGTTTTCTTAAAATTCGCGATTTTTGTTTTGATGCACAAATCTTCCGAATTTCTTAATACTGTAACGTCTTGTTTCAGGTATTCATGAACATCTGCTTATTTGAGTGATTCACAACATGTAATGGACGTCGACAAAATAAGGTAAAAATATATAAATTAAGAAAAAATATATGCTCAGATGGAAATTTTTTGTCCTGCCTGATTTGAATTCACCACAGTGAATCTGTTTACGATTTCTTAATCGAATAGTGTATCTAGTTAGTGATGTTGTGAAGTCTTTATTTACCATAACTGCTCGAGTTTTCGATTTAATTCCCGTTAACAACTTTGGTTCATTGGTTCATAATGAATTAAAATTTGTAGTGCATATTGCACACTTAGGCTGGTGTAATGAATACGCCTGGAACGGCAAAGGTCCGGGGTTCGAATCTGACCAAGAGCAGTTGTTTTTCAAACGGTTAATGATCCGGTTCAAAAAATGTCGGCCTAATATTTGTCTGCTTATGTTTTATCGGCTTAGTTGCCTCATCTAAGAATCGTTTATTTTTGCTGTAAACAGTTTTTACTGCAATTATTTTAAGATTTTTAAAAGTCCGGCCGAATCGAATTTTTTTTCAATTTGTAATTTTACCAGCTCGATGTGTTAAAATTTCACTTTTTTTTATTGTTTTGTCTTTTTTATTGGCTTAATTGTTGTGATAAACTTATTAAATAGTTTCATATAACGTAATGCCTGAGACGAGGAATAGATTGGCATCCAAACAGAGTGATTGCTGCACTGTTTGTACCAAACCAAATGGAGAAAACTGGATTCAGTGTGAGAGCTGCCAAAGATGGACTCACGGTGGGTGTGCTGGATACTCGAACGACGAGTACAAATTCTTGGCGAGGGCCAAAAATGTGATGTTTTTCTGTGACACATGCCTTCCATCAGCACAATGCAACTTACTGAAAAACAACTTCTCCGCAGAGGTCACCAAGGAAATTGCAGACTTGAAGGCCACAGTGGAGAGTGTTAAGTCTGCTGTAACGGCACTGACACCAACTGCCATAGAACCCCAAGCTAAGTATTCTTCAATTGTGAAAAATAATGCTGAATATTCACTAGAGTTAAGGTTCAGCGGTTTGCCTGAAATAAGCGATGCCCCTAAAAAACCAAACCGAAAAGAAGTTTTTGAACACGATGAAAAACAGTTATTTGATGTTGTACATTATCTGGGTGTGGGAAAAGAAGATATATCCGGTTTCCGTAGGCTTGGCAAATACAATTCACAAAATCCTCGAGCAAGGCAAACTCTTGTTAAGTTCTCAAATACTTATACGGTTGATAAAATATTAGCACGTGCACCAATGCTTAAAGTTTTCGAACCAACATATAACGATGAGGCCTATCGAGTTTTTGTTTCAAAATCTTTAAACAAAGAAGAGCAAATGAAAGAGCGAACACTTCTGAAAAAAAGAAGAGAGTTATTAGATACAAACCAACATGATCCAAAGAACATTCATATCAAAAATGGAATTTTGTATTTAAATAACCAAGCAGTAGTAATTGATGAGTGACTAGAAAATTCAACTGGTGAACTAAGCATGTTGTGTTATAACATTAGAAGTTTATATAAATCGGATCGAAGGAGAATTTTTTCGAATTTTCTGCTAGTAAATGCTGTTGATATTGTATGTATATCAGAAACATGGCTCACAGACGATATTGCAGAAGGCGAACTTTTTATACCTCAATATCAATGTTTTTTATCGAATAGAAAAGCAAAATCCGGAACAACAGCACACGGTGGGACTATGATTTGCGTGAAAAATGAAATCAACTCTGAGCAAATTAAATTGAATCTTGAAGATAATGGTTCAGTAACTGCATGCCTGATTTGCTTATGCAAAAAGAAAATACTTATTGTTTGCTGTTATTTACCACCCTCAAACAGTACTTACGCTTACACGAACGCTGATATTGAAAACTTGTTTAAATGTTTGCAAAAAATCAAAAATAATTTTGATGAAGTAATAATATACGGGGATTTCAATTTCCCAACAATAAACTGGACGAGTCTTTCATCTGCTGTTGAGCAAGAAAATATTTTTCTTGATATAATTGATCGATATTGTTTGCAACAAAAAATCTCGTTCCAAACTGCTGCAACTGGTATTCTAGATTTGATTTTAGTGGGAAAAAACATACAGATAATGAATATTGAAGACATTCAAAGGGATAACTATTTTAGCAAACTCTCGAATCATTTCCCTATCAAAGTTAAGTTTAACGTTGAAATATCGTCCTTGTTGCAGCGAAATTGCTGCAAAGATTTGATTTATAGCTACTGTAAAGGCGATTTTGGAAAACTACGAGAAACGTTGAATAAAACGAAATTCGAACCTTTCTGTTGGTCGAATCCTAATAAAGTTCTGGAATTATGGTATAGCTGGCTCAATACCGCAATATCTCAGAATGTACCAAGGAGAACAGCGCACAGAATGTCGCTACCACCGTGGATTACGCAAAAAACATCGCATTACATTAAGTGCCTTAAAACTGCGCGGAAGAATTTTCCAGAATTTCATGACAAGGTCATAGCATTAGCTGATTTAGTTGATACCAGTGCAGAAACTGACAAAGTTGAATACGAACAAGAGCTGGCTGCAGAACGAGCATCGTCAAAATTGTTCAAGTATTTCAAAGCATTTAGGAAGTCAAATCTCCCGCGGAAAATGTTTTACGAGTCTGTCTCGGAGGAGACAGACAAGGGTAAATCAGAACTATTTTCTATCTTCTTCTCTTCCGTGTATTCAAAATCGACAAAATTTATTGAAGGGTGTAATGGAAAAGAATGCGTAAAATCGATTACCACTGTAAATTTTTTCGAAAAGGAAGTAATTGAAATTTGCATGAACTTGGACATAAACAAGAGTAAAGGACCCGATGAAATTCCACCAATAGTGTATAAAAAATTGTGCATTACTCTTTCTCATTCTCTTTCACAGTTATTCAGAAAAATTTTCCAAACAGCCATTTTTCCAAACGATTGGAAACAAGCAATTATAAGTCCATTATTTAAAAAAGGCGATAAATGCCAAGTTACAAATTACAGACCGGTATCTCTGTTATCAATAGCTTCGAAAATTTTAGAAAGGATTATTTTTAGACGACTTTACGATCATTACCATTCTTTTTTTCACGCAGCTCAGTTCGGCTTTAGGAAAAGACGATCAACGATTCTCCAATTGATAATCTTTTTGCAAAAAGTGTACCAGGGCATTGAAAGTCAACATGATGTTGACATAATCTTTACTGACTACAGTAAAGCTTTTGACAGAGTGGATCATGGTATGCTTTTAAAAAAAAACTTTTTGAAACGGGCATCAGAAACAAGCTACTGAAACTAATCGAATCATACTTGACAAATCGAGTACAAGTCGTGCGTATAAATGGAGTAAACTCGTCACCAAAACAAGTTACTAGCGGTGTCCCGCAAGGGAGTATTTTGGGCCCCATACTTTTTCTGGTTTTTGTTAACGACCTCCCGAAAATGTGCGATCAATTGTTTCCCCTACTTTTTGCCGATGACGCCAAATTTCTCAGCGTGGGTTTAAGCACAATAGATATTCAAAGTGATTTAAATGCGTTGTATGACTGGACCGTTAGAAACAACATGCCCTTCAATATGGATAAATGCTGCCTAATTAAAATGTCCAAAAACGAAAAACGATTGCTTTTTGGAAACGAATTGATTAAAACAGAGGAAACTCAATCTGATTTGGGGCTCATGCTTTCCTGTGACTTAAAATGGAATTTGCATATAAATAAGGTTTGCTGCAAAGCAATTCGTGTTTTTCACATGATAAAAAGAAGCGTATCGAATCTTGGACAAAAAGCTAAACTGGATTTGTATAAATCTATGATCGTACCAATACTCACGTACGCAAGTCCATGTTATGGATTAAGTAAATACATTATTACGGAGCTTGAAAATGTACAAAGGCGTATAGTTAAATGGATAATTCCGCATATGGATTCGTACAAAGATCGGTTAATCGAAATTTCACTATTGCCACTGCCAATTTATATACAGATCAACAACCTTTTGTTGCTGTCAAAAATTTTATCGAAAAATTATGATGTTGACATGTTGAAAGTTCCATCGTATTCCTGTTCCTCGCGCGGTTGTATGTTTCAGCTCGAGAGGCCGAAAAAGAAATTTTTGGAGGACGAATTCTTTTACCAAACATGTCGGCTAGCGAATGTGATCAAAATTGACGTGAGAGTAACAAGCAGACTGAAGAAGCGAATATTGTGGTTATTTTGGAGAAAATTTGAGAAGGACTACGAACAAATGAACAAGTGCACATGGAGAATTGCTTGCGATTGCACAATGAATGACTGTAGAAGCAAAACTTCACTATAGAACGAAAAACTGAAAGGGGGAAACCCCTTGTGCTACGAGCACAAAAGCCCTACTACTACTACTACTAATAAATTTCGGCTTAACTAATTTATACTTAATGTCCTCTTATTGCGCCGTTACATCCAAAAAGTTTTTGTGCGCTTGTGTCTGTGCTCTGAGTGCGAAAAGGACTTAACAGTTTTTAAAAGTTAATTTATTGAATTTCTTTTCGGCATGAAGGATTTCTGCTCACGTTTTTCCGGCTTTGGTACAGCTTGGTAATTATAAATTCAAATCCAATCAAACATGTTGCGTAGAGGTAAGACAATTGCTTTTTGGACTAGTTTTTTGTGCTTTTTGGACTATCGTCTGTCCGTTTATTTTTGTCGGCGTAGTTCCCGTAGCTCGATGCTTCATCTTTATTTCAAGTTGCTGTAACCCCCATGCTTGAGACGGCCAAGCCCAAGAGTTCGATTTCAGTTGAGACTTGTTTTTCTTGCAAATAAACAATTTTGGCTCATTTAGATTTTTATCTGCTTTTTTTGTCTGCTAATTTCCGCAGAAAGGACTTTTTTTGAAAAATTGGATTCTGTATTGCATTCCCAAAGCTCGTGATCGAGTTTCTAATGGTTTAGTGAATTTTGTTGCGGATATTTTGGGCCTTTGTTGCAATTTCTATTAACAAAAACGATTTTTGATTACGCTTATCCAGCCTAGGCCCATGCTGCCAGTGATACCGCCATTTGTAAACTGCCAAATGTAGCTCTTCGGACAGTGACCGGTGTTCTAAAATGATCCCCATTGACCAAGTCTCTAAAACAGAACTGACACTCTTACACTCAACTATCACTCTAAAACAGAACTGACACTCTTCATCCTGGCACCAATAAAATTTGGCTACAGTCACTGACTTAAGTCGTTTTTAAATAGGATAGAGCCGACTCGAACCTCCTCCCTAATTGTCTCCAATACCTCGCACCCCACACTGCGCTACATCTTTTTAACTGTCCACAAAACCCAACTTCCCTCAATCCAATAGACCTCCATCGGATAGAGGACGGGACGGACGTACAGCAAAAGTTTCTGTTTGAAGAATTTGTTTGAAGAGTCCATTTTATGAGGATCTGGTTGTTATGTCACAGAAATGTAGTTTGTGATCAATATCAATTTTTGCCGATGTTTCGCAAGTTTCAGGCTGGAAAAAGGCCAAGAAAAGGAAGAATTGAAAAGTAAACATGGTGTGAAGATAATCATGTGTTATCCAAAGAATAACCGTTACCTGAAATGTTTCTGGTCAAAGTAGACCGATGTGAGAAGTGGCTGAAACTGGTGAGTCATATAAGAATATCAGTGAAACAAGGATTTGATAAACGAGCTTCCTGTGCCTGGTATAAGTGGAAAAAGTTTACTTTACATACATTTGGTCAATTTTAAATCAAGATTCAGCATTCCAGGACGTCTATGTTAGTAAAGCCGAAGATTTTTATCTCACTGTTTTTATCTGAAATTCGTAGTCATTCATAGAACACCAATCTGGTAAGCTATTTATATAAGTTTCTACGAATCTGAAGGATGCAGGAGAAAACAATTTAAGCTGTGAACCAATCAGAAAACAAGAAATTAAGAAAACAATCAGCTGTGAAACGGAAGACGTAACAATTTGTAATTAAAGCTGGCAAGTCATCGATAAAATAGGGGACCCTTACTCTGTCCTTTGGAAAACATACGGGATAGATACAGTTGAAGACTAGCAAATGTTCAATTTTGTGTGCAGCAAGTGTTGTAAAATCGGGCGGAAGATTTCGTGTAAACCGCAGTCTTTTTGCTGATAAGGTTAATATGGTTGACTTCCAATTGAACGTTGATTCCCAGATTTCTTTGCCATTTTTTTTCTGCCCAATTCTCGAGCAATTGAATGCATTTTAATTGCCCAATTTTTAATTATCTTCTGTTTCGTTTGTCTTTTTCCATTGCTGTTCAGTCTGTATATTTCATTGGTTTTGTGAACTTGCCCTTTTTAAAAATAATCTTTTTTTTTGTTCATCGAAGATTTCATATTTGGCAGTGAACTTCGGTTTCGGCTTCATTTTAGAACATCAGAAAAAGTTATCGACTAATTTCAGCTTTTGATCAATCGCTTTGAGCTTTTTGTTCCGACTTTCGTAACGAAAGTAACGGAATATTTCTCCGGTGGGTTTTTTTCTTCAGACGAATTTCGACTTTTTAACTAGGCATTTATGACGGGCTTTTTTAAATATCAATCAAAAGGTATTGTTGTCCTAAGCTTCAATTTGAAAAGAAATTTTATCTGTGATCATTTTTCGTAAAGTTATGAGGGTTTAAAGATTGCAGTTTCGGCCCATTTGGGCGCAATTAACGCGCGATATATTTCGCGATATTAACGCGTAAGCAGAGATTTAATCCCTCTTACAAGGAGTTCCAAATGCGTTGAAGGAAGCTTATTTGCCATAATTGATTTGTTACTAGAAGGGAAGTCTATCTTTTAGTACTTTATATGGCGTGTGGGGGGATGATTTTAGCAAAAATGTAAAATTTAAGTTTTTTTTACATTTAAGTTTTCATGTTATTACTGCTCCATAGACCTTAAAAGGCAGTAGGAACATTCAGGGCCTCACCCTGATACGAGCAGTTTTGTTGTTCCGACTTTCGATACGAAAGTAACGGAATATTGCTCGGGTGGTTTTTTTTTCTTCAGACAAATTTCGACTTTATAATTAGCCGTTTTGACGGGAATTTTTTTATATCAGTCAAAAGGTATTGTTGTCCTTAGCTTAAGTTTGAAAAGATATTTAACTTGTGATAATTTTTTGTAAAGTTATGGGGGTTTAAAGATTGTCATTTTGGCCAATTTGGGACAATTAACGCGCGATATATTTCGCGCTATTAACGCGTAAGCGGAGATTTAATCTGTCTTAAAATCGTTCCAAATTGGTTGAAAGAAGCTTATTTGCCATAATTGATTTGTTACAAGAAGCGAAAACTATCCTTTTGTACTTTATATGGCATGTGGGAGGATGATTTTCATAAAAAATTTCAAATTTTAGAGAAAAAAAATTTTCATTTAATTTTATTACATTCAATTTTTTTATAGGTTATTACTGCTCCATAAACATTAAAAGGCAGTCGGAACATTAAAGGCTTCGCCCTGATACGAGCAGTCTTGTTAGTTATTTGGTCAGAAAAATTTAGGACGATGCGCTTGGGAATTTTTACACGTAAGCGGCGATTTAATCCGTCTTAGAAATCGTTCCAAATTGGTTGAAAGAAGCTTATTTGCCATAATCGATTTGTTACAAGAAGCAAAATCTATTCTTTTGTACCTTATATGGCTTGTGGGGGAATGATTTTCGAAGAAAAAATTCAAATTGTAAAAAAAAAATTGTTCATTTTATTTTATTACATTTAATATGTTAATGATATTTATGTTATTACTGCTTCATAAAACTTAGAAGGCAGTCGGAAGTTTCAGGGCTTCGCCCTGATACGAGCAGTCTTGTTAATGCTTGTCAGACAAGTTGGTTTAAGACTAAAGTTTATGATTATGTTGGTTGCTTTAAATGGTTTGTTTTGCTGATTTCAACTAAGAATTCGCAGTACGATTCAAATTGTGTTTGCTTTTTTTTACCCCTGCGATAATAAAAGTATTATCGAAAGAGCAATTGGCTCAAAAATGTGATCAAGTTCAATTTAAAAGGTAGGTCTTGGTACTGTTAGCGTAGTACTTTTGGCTAAGCTGCGCTTGGTAGTTATTATTTTCGTTGTTTGTTTTTGTTTTATTTTTTATTGTTTTAGTTTTTCGAACTAAGTGGCTTCCCGCTAAATATATATCCACAAGATAGCAATGCCGTAATGGCGATGTGAAGCAAGTGTTGCTAAGCTCTCTTTTGCCTTTCTTTGTGTATGGACACATATTCAGTTAAATATTCTTATTACGACAATTTGTCGAGTGTTTTTTTTTTTGGTTTACGCTACAAATGCAGCTGCCGCATTTGGATTTCTACTTACTACATGGCGACTCCGATGGATGATGTGGATGTAGTTTAAACACTAATCAGTTTTTAAACATTTTTTCGGCTGATTTGTTCTGCCAAATTAGATTTCCGCTACGATATTCTGGCGTAGAGTTTCAGCAGCTTGGTAAAGTGTTAAAGGAGCTTAATTACAATTATCGCTGTTAATTTGATCACTATATCTAAAAGATTATTGCAGTAATGATAAAGGAAGTTTTTGGGCACTAAGTTTTGCCGCTTTATTCTTTTTTTAAAATTGAAATAAATGGTACTGATTGTTATGTTGGCTTATATATTTACAGTCTCATTTTCAAACCTCATTAAATTCGATGATTAACATTTGATTTTCCTTGATGGTATAAAACTAATAGACAGAAAATGACCAAAATAAATCTGATGTTTTTCTGGGTTATTTTAAAAAAAAACTAATACGGTTTTCGCCCGATCAGCCCATTGTCAGTTATCAAATATTCACGAAAAATGCCGCCTAGTATTTTGCATGCGTTTCAAGTTTTATCGGTTATTCTGCTGGTTTGTTTCTTGAAATCAGTTTTATGAATTACCTCTTAAAGAGTCTAATCTCGTTTTTTGGCTCTTTTATTTGAACCAACAATATGTCGAGTTTATACAAATGTTGCGAACCCTTGGCCTTTGTGTAGTAAATGCAAATCCAATGTGATGTGACACTTATGCTTAAGACGACAAGGGCACGGTGTTTCAAGTCCGGCTGGGACTTAGTTTTTGCGAACTGAAAAATTTCAGCTGTATAAAACTTCCTTTTTTTGGACTATCTTGTGTCGGCTCAACTCTGTAGCAGGCACTTTCTTTGATGATTCTGCCATTTTTATCGTTTTGACATGCGCTTTTTATGTTCATTTTGGTGCAAGTAATTGAATTGCAAGGTTTCGTATAATTACAAGTTTTTGTACATAGTCTTATTTTGTACATAGTCAACGACTCGATTCATGCTGCATCTAATGACGGGCAAAATTGTTTTTCGAAGGGAGGGTGCATGAAAATTTTTCTTCATTTGGCATCTACCCAAGTATTCTGTTGAGTTGCAACTTGTTACATTTTGTTCCTAATGTTGATTTATTTGGGCAACTCTGAGTCTTTACATGTTTTCTTCAATCTGAACTTCCTAGAAAAACACTCTAGAAAAACGCATCACACTTTCCTATTTAGTAGCTTCAGTAGCTTATTTTTTTTTCGGCTACCGTACCATGATAAGTTTGTTTTTATCACAAGGGGTGTTGAATGCTTCGGTTGTGTTGGAATTTTTGGCATATATTTTGAATGGTTTTGTTTGTGTTGTAGGATATTTGATCAGAACATGGACCTCATCAGCGTGTTTGGACTGTTGTCCACCATATGCACCATAGCAATGATGCTCGCCGGCCTGTAAGTAAACTGAGTCTGATCAGCACTTTAACCCCACCCCCCCCCCCCCCCTCCCTCACCGGTGACAAAACTTGAATCTTCCTATCGAGCGAGTGGGGGCCATCCTAGCGAAATGAACAAACATTCAACATACAGCTTTTAATCAGGGTCACGACAGCGGAATGTTTTTCCTTTCCGTCTTGGATGAGTACCTTCACCCGAAAATGTCAAGTATTTCGATTCAAGTAGGAGTTATTGCTAGATCTATTAAGATCACTATGTTGTTTCGATCTTTTTTCAGTCCTATCATTGTATTATTTGAACTACAAAAGTGATTATAGCTTGCTTGTTGTGTTTCTCGATAGATTTTAGATTTTCATCATCTTTGTATTTCTAGACCTCTCTGCACCCAAATGATGAGAGAAGGAACCCAAAACGTGCAATTGTTCCCATTTGTCGCTTTCTTCACAAAGTAAGTGCAATCTAACAAAGTCAAGGCGATGAAGCATTTTCCCTTAAAGCTGTTGAGTTAGATCGGGTTGGTTAACTCATAGAGTAATTTCGGATAGGCTACACCGTCTGCTCGTCACGCTATCTTATTTTCGGCCGGATAGATTCGTGCAACTTCTTAGTCTAATACCGATCCTAATCTTACTCTTATATCTACTAGTCTCAGGGTGTTTAACTAGTCTCTGCTAGGCTCAATAGATCTAGAGTATACTCGCTTATTGCGATTGCTAATGTTCTCTTGGAGAGGTAACTAATTTCTAAGTTAAATTCAAATCTCTCTGGTGCTGAAATTACAAGTAATTTCAGCACTTACAAATAAGTGGTTTGTTAGTTAGATGGATCATGATTGGTTAATATTAAATATTTTAAAGTGATAAAATATCAAATTTATAACCAATAATAAAATATAGTTTAGATCAGGTTCCACCGTAGTGAAAGAATGGAACCGTTACTTAATTAGGTGTCGTTTTTGTTTGTTCCTTTTTATTTGGGTGGTTCGACTTGATTTCTTTCCGCACCAAGTACTAGACTTTTTTACCTTTAAAAAATCTGTTTATAGACTGGCGAAAATTATAAATGGTACCGGTGTGTTATTTTGATGTGTATGATAAGCGCTATTGGCCCAAGTTTTCTTCGATTGATCATTTGGTTAATTTTTTGTTAACTACTGAATTGTTTTGATATTGGTTTGAATGCTGGATGATAACTGTTTTAATTAACAGACGGGGCCTTAGGTAGTTTTAGACAATATAAAAATGTTAGTTTTAGTTGTAAAATTTTTGGTAGTGTAGAGCAAAATTCGAGAAAAATTTGTTTTTGTTTGATATGTCATTTTTAGTTGAGTTCCCTTATTTTTCCTGATTTTTTTCTTCCTCTATTTGTGCATCGTTTAGATACCTCGGTACAATATAAAATAATATTTTTGGTGTTTTGCCTGGGAAATTGTCTTTGATTTTTTTCATTTGTATTGTTTTTTCAAGTTTATTGAAAAATGGGGAGAAACTTTGTAGTCGAGTGTGTTATAGTTTTTTCTTTTTTTTTGTTTTCCACGTACACGCAGGTACCACAAAAAATTATCGGAATGATCGATAGACATTCCAAATTGAAGCCCTTTCAGTCGTGATTCGAACGACATTAAAAATTCTTCGAAGCGTTTTCAGTATTGAGAAAAACGGGTTTAAAATTTTTGATTTTTCAATTTCGAGCGAATAAAGCGTGCGAGCAGACTTACAAAAGCTTATATATGCTTATTTTAAGCCCTGAAATCTAAGTTTTTAGCAAGTAACACAATTTTTTTGGAGTTTTTGGCGGCATTTTGGGAAACAAAAAGTTCAAAAAAATTGTTACTTGCTGAAAGCTATGGTTTTAGGGCTTGAATTAAGCTGTTGTAAATCTGCTCGCACAAAAATTGAAAAAAAATTGAAAAAGTGAAAAAATAGATCTTAATTTTTTTTATTAATAGGCCTTAATTGTAGCGTAACGTCAGATCCTTTTATGAAACCACGCCGAAAAACCCAAGTAGCAAAAAAAAGTGTTCCTCTATTTGATGTCATTTTTGGAGCAATAGCTTTATATCTGGTTTAGTTTTGTTTCAATGGAATTAATTTTTTTTGCATTAACATTAAATATATGTATCTGGTTTTTTTAAAATGGCCATAGTTTGGCGATATTCAGGCACACATGCCGAAGATGCTTAGACATCAGACTCGAGGCCAGTGGTTCGTTTCCATCACATAAAAAAAGTTTTTATTTGCTGTTTTTTTTGTCTCATTTTTAGGCCATTTCTTGCATTGTTTCGCTTGTGTTTCCGAAAAGCAGCTTCGTCTCTTGTGTTTCGAATTGGTTTGTTCTTTTCGTTGTTTTTTCAGTCGTGATTCGAACAACATAAAAAATACAAAATATTTTCCAGTGTCAAGAAAAACTGGTTTGAAATTTTTGGTTTTTCGCCTAATTTCGAGCAAGTGAAGCTTCATTTTTTTTACTCGAGTATGTTTAGTTTTGGAATTTTTTTTTTCGATGTTATGATTTTGTTTGTTTCCAGTCATTTAAAAAAAAACAGTCAAGTTTGCCTGTTTTACTACGACTGTCGAATATGCTTAAGTTGTAGTTTTTTCGTTCATTCCTTTTATCACACCACGCAGAAAAAACGACACAAATTTGAAGGAAATGTTATCGATTTGTTTTATCAAAATATGTCAATCACAAAAGTTTTTTGAAATTCAAACAGATTTGAATCTGATAGTGTTTCTTGGATTTTGAAAGCTGAAACATTCAGGCTTTTTTTGCATCCTTGAATGCATTATCAATTTTCTATTCCCTGCTGTCGTAAGGAGTTGAAAGTTTAAAAGAAAAATGTATGCTACGGATCTGCTACACAAATGTTTTCTTGATTTTAGGGCTTAGCGCAACCTCCAAAGAGGATTAATTATTCATATTGAATGAGTGCAATTGTGTTGCAGTTGCATGCTGTGGAGCGAGTATGGTCTGCTGAAGCTGGACAAGGCAGTCATCATTGTGAACATGACTGGCTGTGTGCTGGAGGGTCTCTACATCCTCATCTACTTCAGATGCACCAAAAACCAGGTCAGCTCACTCAACCGAACTAATTTTAGTGGACTGTTTCGCCACTCACATATTTTGATTCTTACATCTCACTCACAAAGTCCCGTGATGAGGGGCGAAATGCATGCAGACCACCAGAAGAAAGAAAGTGTGAACAAAACAGATTCTCGAGGATTAAATCGTTTTAAACAGTCGTTGTTGAATTAGACTTATTGTGAAGAACCCCTTCTATACTGGGTCCACACGCACAACGAAATGTTCGTTTGGCAACTTTATTATGACTGTATAGCATAGGTTGAATTTTAATTTCTCCGTTGCGAGTTTTAACAATACGGAGAATTACGGTGTAAAAAACGAATAGCATTAGTATCAAGTTTGAATCCTTTGTATGTAATAGTTCTCTTGGCGCTATAGGCGATGGTGCTGCAGCAGTTGTTCGGATCTTTCTGTGTCATTTTCCCCTCCCTTGTCTACGCCAAGTTTGTTGCCGCCAGTCTACGCAGCGCACTGTCTGTGCTCGGAGCCATCTGTGTCATCGCAAGTGTGGTCAACTTCGGATCGCCTCTGGCAGACATCAAACGGGTGCTGCAAACCAAGAGTTCCGAGTCCATGTCTCTACTGTGGTGTCTCATTGCGGCCATAACTGCTTTTCAGTGGACCATGTATGGCTATCTGAAAGATGACATCAACCTCATTGTTAGTTTTGTACTCGAGTACTTCCCAATTTTTTAATTTGTGCTCCAAATGACTAGAAAATAGTAAAATATTTTTGACAATGTCTTCGTGTCAACCGCTTGCTTTGACAATTGAGCGTTTTACTTAGAAAAATATTTTGAAGAGATCAAATACGTCAGCTTCAACTTGAAGCTATTTTGTCACTAAGTTAAGATTTCATGAAGATTGTTGGTATATCACAGTACAAAAAAAGCAAAAAAATGGTCGAAGTTTCGAACCAGAGATTTAAAAGCGGTTTTCAATAAAAAGCTACACTGCTCTTATGCTTGTCTTTTCCTTAGTCGATAAACCATGGGCGGATATAGGATTTTCTCGAGGGAGGGGGCGCATTTTTAGATGTTGACCTTTTTTCAGTTCATACAATTGAGTTTCCGAGCCTTAATTGACAAAAAAATTTCTGCACCGCAGGATATTAAAAAAAAAAACGTGTGGGCAAAAAACGTTTTTGCATTCGGGTATTTTTTTTGGATGTTTTTGCGTTTTGTTGGCTCGCGCGTCCCCTCAGCTCAGAATTAGTATATACTGGCGCCTTTTGAAAAACTGTTGGTCAGCCAAAATTGTGGTACCAAAGGAGGGACCCGTTGGGTGGTGATGGGTTCGAATCCCTGAGGGAGAGGTACGGCCTCCTCTCCCATATTCGCCCCTCGAATAAACGGTTTGAACGTGACTTAGAAAAATATAAAAAGGAATATATGTTTAGATACCCAATGCAATTGGAGTTGGTCTGGGTGCTATCCAACTGAGCTTGATCTACAAGTACAAGCCGAAGTTGCTCACGAGCAAGATATCCGACATCACTTTTTGAAGGGAAAGAAGCAAACTAGCCACTTCATTTGATGGGTCGTCTGTATCTCACGCTACTCATAGTCTTTGAATACATTCACATCTTCATGGTTACAGTTTGCAAGATATACCAACAAACTAATCAAATCTAAGGTCGATGGCTTAAAAACATATTAATCCTAAACTTTAAGTTGCAATAGTGAGTAATGATGACTCTATATCACGGTGATGGCTAGCATCCCCAAATAGTAGATTTTCATTGGTCCCCTGCTAACTAATCATTAGTTCTGTCTATGGAAATGAAAGCTTTGTTATCTTCCTTCTCAGTTTTCTTCGACTCTTTTGATATTAAAAATTTAAATATTATTTCCCGTTTTATTGTTCTCAATTTGTAATCTTAAAAAAAAATTCCAGTTTTTCTCACTTAGTCTTAGTAAAGGTCTTTCAATTCTCGTCCAGAAGATTAGATGAAGTTCGCTGGATGCCGAAAGGTTTTGCTGCTTATTTTTCACTAGATCGAAATCACTGGGGAATCCCAAATGCCAGAAGGACCTAACGTCCGAAAATATGCTACTCAACCAGAGTTTATTATTCGAAAATTTGAAAGAACTAAGCTGGAAATTCATTGGTTTGGTCATTTATTCGCATTCGGTCCTTCTGTCATGATGTTAGCCCCCAAAATCATTGTTTACGAAAGCAGAGCGTGATATCAACTTCGTGTTATACTGCGATGTCACTTTTTACAACTGAATTTAGTTTAGACTCTTATATAGGTTGTGATTGTTTTTAAAAATTGTTTTCAGGAAAAGTCCTTGAATGCTCTAATATTTTACTAAGTGCATTCAAACATTATTGCTTTCATGAATGCTTCTAGGTATATATGCACTATTTGAAATCAAATCAATTTCATCTGCTTAAAGTTAATTACGTTGCGCTCTCCAATTACGAAACTGTAAAGGCCACGAAAAACGTGATCGACTTCTAGTTTCGGAAATGTTATTTAGTTTTCAGATTTCTCAGCGGAACAAAAATGTTTCCTAATAATCCAGTTTTCTTAGTTTTTATCAAAATAGCGCCAATTTTTAATTGCTTTTGAAACCCGAAGAGCTTTAAGGCCATATATCGTTTTGTTTAAAATTCGAAATGGAATGCCGAGTGCGCATTTGCGACTCACAAACCTAATTAAAAGTATTAGTAATATAAAAGTATTAGTGACAGATCTGCATTTACATCGGCAAAAAGCATTCAAATTAAAAACATTCACGTGAATGCAGACCTGTCACTAATACTTTTATATTACCGGCAAGGTTTGTGAGATGCCTGTACGCACTCAGCATTCCATTTTTTTAATCGATGATCATAACCAACATACAGTTGAAAAAGCGTCACTGAAAAACGGACTGTTTTTTGAAAAAATCAGCTTTACAATTTTTAAGTAAAAATTGAATCACAGCTTTTTGATTTTCAAGAAAAATTTACGATCGAATTTTTTCATAACATTTTCTCAATTTGAGAGCATAGCCAACAGACAGTTGGAAAAGAGTCATTGAACGCATAAAAACAAAAATAAATTGATATGAAAATAGAATGACGCTCAAATGTGGTTTTTCGCAGTTTGATTTCTGATTTACTTTTAATTTCAGTTCAATTTTTTTGTAAAAAGGAATGCAATTTTCTCTATTGAACAGAAAAAGTGTATAGGTCATGAAAAAGAAGATCGGATTTCAGTTTTGAAAGTGGATTTAAATTGCAGATTTCGCAGCGGAATAAAAACATTTACTCATCGATCCAGTTTTCTCGAATTGATTTAGTTTATCGAAAAAGTGACAATCATAATTTGTTTTTGAAACTAAGAGAGGCTTAAGGCCATTTTTTGTTGCAACTCGAAAGTTCAATTTCTGAAAGTTAATTAAAAAAAGCGTCACTGAAAAACGGACAATAAAATTTAGAACTGGTAACTTTTGGCTCAGTTCATGAGGAACTCAAATTTCTTTTCGTTTCTGGTAACCTTGTCCTAGAGGTAACCAATACGCCTGGGACGGAAAAGGTCTTGGGTTCGAATCTGTTAGGACCTGTTTTTTTTCAAGCGGGAAATATACCGTTTCAAAAAAAGTTTTCGGCTTATTATTCGCCTGCTTGTTTTGTCGACTTAGTTGACACATCGTATAATTGATTTTTGCTGTAAGCAATTTACATTGTTGATGCTTTTAGTATTTTGTTTATTTCTGCTGTTTGTAATTTCTTGACTTTGTATATATATATTTTTTTTCGCTCAAAAACCATTCTGCCAAAATGATTTCAGCTTATATTTTATTGGCTCGGTGTTCTAATTTTGATTGGTTTCAAGGGAAATATAATTCGTATGCTTAATGAGTTGGAAGTATTCAGTTCAAATTTTTCATGACAACATTTTTTTCTGCTTTTTAAACTTTTTTCTGATTGATAGGTTTCTGCCTGTTTTATATCGGCTTGATATCTTCATTTTGCGGGTATCGAAAAAGCAAGAAAATGTTTGTTTTTGCGTTTGTGTATTTTAATGGCGAGGGGGACTTAATAATTTTTGAGTCGTTATTTTTTTTTTGAATTTTTTTGGTTTTTGTATATTTTCCTTTTTTCCGGCTTAATAGGTTTCGGCCTATATTATATCGGCTTAGTCGCCTCAAAATACTTTGTCACAGCTTGGTAAGCTTTCTGCCGGTGCGAATTTCACATTCTATTGTCTTGGAATGTTTCTCTTTCAAAACTAGCCTGATTCATTGTGAGAGATTCAGTTTTTTTGACATTTCCGATTTTTTGCCGACCTAGCTGCTTTCTAGTTTTTTATCGTAACTGTTGAGAAGCGCAGCTTTGCCTCTGTGTTCCAAAGTTCAATTCATTTCCTTTGTTAAAAAGAAAACAACCTCTACTATCGAACAGCAAAAATATAAATTTCATCAAAAACGTGACCGAAATCTAATTTCGAAAATTCTGGATTTCATTTTGAAATTTCCCAGCGTAAATTTTCAAAAAACTTTCGATCCAGCTTTCTCAAATTGATATCTTTTTACCGATAATTTCAATCATAAATTGTTCTTAAAATTCAAAGAGGCTTAAGACTGTACCTTTTTCCTTTAAAAAATCGAAAATTGTACTTAAAAAAAATAATAAGTTAATTTTTTTTTCTCGTTTACTTGCGTTCATCGATTATTTTCAACAATCTGTTGGCTTTGTGTTTGACATAGCGACTCTAGTCTTATTTTCTGTCGTTTTGTTTGCCATCCTTTATTGGTCCATATCGCCAATTTTGCCCTCCAGTTACGAAAGCGCGAAGAAACTTGAATGATTTTATGGTCGAACGTGGATCATAATTTTCCCAACAGATTTGGTTAAAATTGTGCAAATCATAAAATTCTCTAGAGTTTTTAAGAGCTGATATATTTGTTTCTCTGAAGTAAAGCGGCTTAAAAAAGTTGAAAAATAATGCCATCATTTGTTTGCGGTTTCCTTGAGTTCCTTGATACTTTTACAACTGCCTGATGGCTATGTTTTTTAAGTAGTTGTAAGTTAAGTGGAATAAAAAAACTGTTTTAAGTTAGTTGAAGCTAGTGAAGTGAGGTGGGGACAATGCAGTTTTTCCAATTTTTTTTCTTAGCCCAATTGTTTTCTACGCGATTTGTCCACCATTCTGCTTACCGCCATAATTTGGTTATTTTTTACACTAATAAAAAAGGCTTTGTTCTATCGAGTCATATGACAGTATATTGATTGATAAATTACTTGAAGCAAACAAGTTTGGGTATGTTTGGCCAGGGGCGGATCTAGGATTTTCTTGAGGGGGGGGGGGCGGATTTTCAAAAAATTTTGTCGACCTTTTTTTAGGCCGAGCAAAGTGAATTTCTGAGCTCTCCGAAAGCACAAAAAATAACCTGTTTGGCAATATGTGATTTTTGGCTCTGTGTTTCGGCGAATTTCTATTGGCCTTGTTTTAGAAGTACGAACAGTCTTGAAATTGTTATTTAGTCTGAGCGAATTTTCAAGTGAAATCTTTTTTTTTGCTGTTGTTTCATTGTCAATATTTCTTATTTCCTTTTGAGAAAAATCTGGCGGTAGCAGGATAACAACACGCGTTTTTTCTTCAAATTGAGTTTTTGTTTGCACGTCAATTGGTTGTTTTGTACAAATCAGATGAACTACAAAAATTGCGAGTCTTGCAGAAGTTTTAATTATCGGTTTAAATTTTGAAGTGGTATGTAAATCCAAGTTGGTGAGTTTCTCTCAAACTTATGTAGCCTGACGTTTCCCGATTTAGTATTTTTTGCATTAATTATCTTGGTTTTACACTAATCATAAAGGTTTTTCAAAATGCTACAATTTTAATGTGTAGTTTCAGTTATTTAATGTCGACTCTTTTTGGATCAACGGGGACGGGACTGTTCGGAAACACAAATACTAACACTCAAGTAGCCCAATCTGGATTGAACGCTGTGGGAGGAAATAATGAGAACCCGATGAAAGACTTCCTTGTGAATCAGCCGCCCGATGATACCTTAACTGCTCTTCGCTTTTCCCCGGCGTCTGTGTCCTCTACTTTTCTGACCTCCACTTCGTGGGATAATAGAGTGAGGTGTTGGGAGATTAACCAGATAGCAGGCACTGCAAATCCAAAAGCAGAACAGGTTATTTTTACACTACTTCATTTTCTACTTTCCGTGTTTAATATTGAGTCCAAACTTTTTTTATCTTACAAGCACATGAATCAAAATATTTATTTTGTCCAAGAACCAGATAGGTCTATAATCAGTCAGTTTGTTTGAAAATTGTTTGCAGATTACAGGCAATTGTTCGAAAGCAGCGCTTGTAGTTTTTGGACAGAAATTATGCTTTTCATTTTTTTTGTCGCCTGAGCTTTCCTAATAAAGTTTATTTGAAATTTAAACTTTTTCTAACATTTTTTTGAAATGCGTAATTAAAACATAATGTGGCTTTATGCTTTGCTTTTTGATACCTGCAAAGTTAGTTGGGAGTCCTTCAGCTTGTTATATTCCAAATTTTTACATGCAAAATTGGGTCTATTTGTTTTTGGTGCCACTTTTGCTGAATAACGTTGGCAAGTTGTTAGCATATGTAGCTGCTTTATTCGTGACTAGTGTTTGTCGGTGATTAGGAGTGCGTGGCTGAGTGGTTAGTGCGTGAAACTCAAAATCTCTTGATTGCAGTACGTCGCAGATCGAATCCTTAGACCTTTTTTTGCACTTTCTACAGCTGCTTTTTGTCGTGTTCTCGCTAGTGTCTGTGAAGCGAAGCTTCGCGCCTGTGTATTAACCTTGCGATAAGGAAGAGCATGGCAATTGGGTTCTAGAGTTTTCCCCCGTAAACAACTTTGTTCACAGGACTGATTTCATCTCCTGGACTCCTACATCTTCTGACATGCTCAATTTCTTGGAAATTCAAATAAAACGTTTATTTGATTAGTTTTCATGTTGTAATTATTTCTTAAAAAAATGTGTCAATTTTTTGGGTTTGTGGTTTTTGTCCTTGTTTGTCGATTTTTTTTTTCATTTTTTTTTCTAAATTCGTTTTTTCTCTGATTGGGTTTTTATTAGCTTACTTTTCAGAGCATGCGTTTTTTTCCAATTTCATCGATTTTTTTTACAACAACTGAAAGATCAGTAGTTTGTAAATTTACCAAGTCTGATTTTGGGTTTTTCTTTTTTGATTATTTCTTTAAATGTTAAAAAGTTTCAGTTTATGTTGTGTCGGCTCAGTCAAATTATATTGCATAATTTCGAGAGCAAATATATTTGCATGCGATTTGTGTTTCAGATTGGATGGGTCCTAAAAATTTTTTAAACTTTATGAAGTTTTTTATGACAACAGTTTTGATATTGGGTCGAACAGTTTTCGACCCAAAATTTGTTGCCGCTCGGTAATGAACTGTTTATGAACTTTTCTCTATACAAACGTGAAGTTTTGTAGCTGTATCTTAATCATCTTTTCAAGTTATTTTTTCACGTAATTTTTTCAACGTAATTTTTCAGAAGTTTCTTTTAGCTCCGCTTCGCCTCTGTGTCAAAAATATATCAATCATAAACTGTTCTTAAAAATCTAAGAGCTCGAAGACCATACATTTTTTACTTTGAAACTCGAAAGTTGATTTTTTTTTCTGTTTCCTTGCTTTCATTGGATCTAGCAACTGTCTGTTGACGATGTTATAGGTTTTGAATTCTCCGCTGTTAGACTGTTGCTGGCACGCCGATGGGACAAAAATATTCACGGCAGACTGTGAGAAACAGGCGAAAGTGTGGGACCTGGCTTCGAATCAGATTGTCCAGGTGGCAGAACACGGAGCTCCAATTAAGTCAGTTCGCTGGATCCAATCGCCTCAATACTCGTGTTTGGTCACCGGCTCATGGGATAAGACAGTGAAGTTTTGGGACACCAAGAGTCCCAATCCGATTTTCACAATTCAACTGACTGAGCGACTTTACTGCGCAGATATAATGTATCCCATGGCTGTTTTTACGACTGCAGATAGAGGAATAGTTGTATACTCGTTAGAAGGTTGTTTGTTTACTTGTTTATTATTATACTATTATAATTACTGACCGCCCTCAGCGACTGGTGGGGTGGGTTGGGTTAATGTTAACTTGGTTCTTTTTACATAATTTTTAGCCAATCTGAATCGAGAAATTTTTACCATGCAGCGTCGAGAAAAATTAATTCTGTTGAAATAATGTTACTTTAACTTTAGTAATCTTTTTATTAGGTTAACATTGAACTGATTCGTTGATCGTTAAGATATTGCGGCGTGGTATTATAGAACAACCCAAAACGAGCCATTTCTGTTTCATACCAGAGTTTTGCGAAAGGAAAGGAGGCATATTTCGACAGGCCTAATCGTCTTTGTACTCTCTTTTTATTTATATTGTTCTATGTTAGCTTTAAATTTAAAAATATATCAAGTTAAAATCCTACTCCACTCTTGTTGAATTGGATTCAAATTGTTAAAGCTGCGTGTAAAATACTCGATTCTGAGTGGCCGAAAGTGGCAACTGAAAATGAAGGCAACCTACTGTCCCCTGAAACGCTTCGTGGGGGTCGGGATAAGTTGGTCCACGTATTTATTATTTTCGATCAAATGTTACAATACGTGCTGATATCACTCGTCCTTCTCAAGTTCCTTATCGCTGATAAGTGATACGTCCTTCTCCAGTTAAATACATTATTACTAAATTTGCCACCTATTGTAATTTGTTCCTTTTTTGATTGCAGGCGGCCCGAAAGAGTACAAGAAGTTCGACTCGCCTCTGAAGTACCAGCACAGGTGTGTGTCTATTTTCAAAGATGCAAACGGAGGCCCCACTGGGTTCGCTCTGGGCAGCATCGAAGGAAGGGTGGCCATTCAGTATGCAGAGGGCAAGGATCCGAAGGACAACTTCACCTTCAAGTGTCATCGCTCCAATGCAGTTAACAACGTACAGGATATCTATGCTGTTAGTTTCTATTTGGAACTGAACATTGAGATCAGTTAAGATTAATGCTCAACCGGAGCTACTTAACAATTCAAGAAAAGGGGGTGTAATTGTTAAGTAGATGAAGTTATTCGAATTTTTGACCCATCAAAAATCAGCAAAATTCGAATTATCGAGAGATCGCTCTAGTGCTAATTTACTGCTTTTATTTATAATAATAAAGGTTGAAATTCTTTAGGAGTGGCGATTGTTAAGTAGATCTACTCAACCTTCGAATTAGTTCCTTCCTAAGTACCATTGAGGGGGGGGGGGTGCTTGGAATAGTTAGAGATAGAGAGATAGTTTCAGATCCTAGTTTCATGTTTTATCAATAGGCATATAAAGATTAATTTGACAAAAATCAGTTGAGAATAGTATCCTAATTTGAACTTTATTCTAATGAAATTGATTTGTTTTTAAAGCCATCGAAAGTTAATGAGTAGTTACATAGTGGTGACTCTTCTGATAACTTAACTATTTTTCACTGGTTTATGCTTCAGTTGTTTTTTATGTTAAGTAAAAACTCAATCATATTGTTTTCCTTAAGTGCGGTGTTTGCTTGGTGAAAAATATTAATCATAGCTATTATTGTTGTAGATGCAATTTTTTGTCAGGTGAACGACATTGCATTTCATCCAACGCACAACACATTAGTGACAGTTGGGAGTGACGGGCGATTCTCCTTCTGGGACAAGGATGCCAGGACCAAAATCAAAACCTCGGAACAATTTCCTCTTCCCTTGACGTCTTGTGCATTCAGCCACGACGGGAAGATCCTAGCGTATGCAATTGGGTACGACTGGTCAAAAGGTCACGAGGGAAATGACGTGAGCAAAAAACCAAAGATATTTTTGCGTCCGGCCGAAGAGGAAATGAAACCTCGTGCGAAGACTAAATGAGATAGCGCTCTTTAACTCTTGCTTAAAATTAATTGATATGTGATTTGTTTTTGTTTTGCTATTTAATTTGACCTAAAGATGAAGATTGTTTTTTATTCTTGCGATAAGCAAGGGTATTGCAATCGGGTATTAGACTTTTTTCCCCGTAAATAACTTTGTTAACAGGATTTATATCCTGGACTCAATAATCTTCTTGCTTTATTATGAATTCAAATTCAATCAATCATCCGGCGCATCTGACGTAGAGGAAATACGCCTGCTTGAGACTGTCTAGGCTTGTCGTTCGAATCCGGCTGTGATCTGTTTTTTTTTACTACAAACTTTGTGCTTTTTCGTTGGACTATCGTCCGTCTGTTTATTTTTGTGCTTTTTCGTCGAAAATTTGTGCTTTTTCGTCGGACTATCGTCCGTCTGTTTATTTTTGTCGCCTTAATCCTCTATTTTTTTTTGAAGTTTGAGCTTTCCTCCAAGTTATTGTTACAACAATGTTTGAGTCGACAAAGCCCAGGAGTTTGACTCCAGTCGGGACATTGGACCAGCAGGATGCAAATAGAAAATGTTCGGCTGTTTTAGATTTTTGTGTGTCTGCTTATTTTTGTCGGTTTAGTTCTCGCAAAAAGAAATTTTGGAAATTTCGGCTTCTTTCTAGAATTTCGAAAGCTCCTTGTTAAGTTTATAATGGTGCTGGCAATTTTGTTCCGGATATTTTGTGCTTTTTTGCGATTTTTATAATAGAAACGATTTCTTGAAGTTTTTTCAGTTTGTGGTTTTTCTTTTATTTGATTTAATCATAGTCATTCATTTTTGTATCGCAAATAGTGCATAGCTCATCTTTGCCACTGTGTGAAGATTGGAGGCAACTTTATTGTTAGAAGTCCCTTTTCTCTCGGGTTTCAGATAGCTTTTTACTTTGGTGGTAAAGTCTAAAATTGTTCAGAAGTTGATGCGAAGATGGAGCTAAATGGGAATCAAGCATGACAGTGGGTCATAATTATAGATCATCGGAGAGTTCTCGATGAGGGTGCACCAGGATACGAGCTTTCCATTTTATGCTGTAAAACTTTGCTTAGCCTCAATTGTTCCGGATTGTGTTTCATTGGTTAAGTTACCTGAAATTGCATAGTTTGAAGGCAAAAATAAAAATACTCTTGTTATCAAATTTGGTGGTTTCCAGAGTGTGATCGAACAAGTTTTTCATGACAAACGTTTTTTTTTCGGTTCAGCGTTAGGATAATCAACCTTTGTCGGCTAGTTGTCGTTCGATTAATGTTATCTAAAACTTATTTAACGCCGGTTAATAATAACGCAAAAACTTATATATGTGCAAAATACGAGTTTTATCTGGTCTTTGAAAAAGTGTTAAAAGATTTGAATGAGAAAATCAATTTGGAATTATATGCAGTGCCATTTTACAAACAGGATAAAAAATTATAAAACAAACTTTGTTTTGATCTGCGTTTCCTAGTTGATATTTTTTAATTCTTCAAGTCTGCACAATTGGTTTGTGTTTTTAAAAGGCAGGCTTTAAACGGAACTTTATCGTGAAATTTATCGAAAAACGCGGATACATAATCAGCTTTTGATTTTCAGGCCTTTGTATAGTGTATTACTTTTGTCCTATATGATATATTTGAAAACAAAATGTTTGAACATTCTGAAGAATACGAATGGTATGTGGCTTTTGAAGAAGTCTTTAAAGAACTGAATACGAAACAATTAGCTTCAACTAGAACAGTCGCTGATGAAAAAATCTTGCTATTTTCGATTAAACTAATAGGATATTTTGTCTGCCGGGGTTGCGGCAAAAGATGGAATTCTATGAACAGTCAAGTGAAGTTTTCGTACATGATCGTCCCAAAGCATAGTCGGGGTGAGTTGAGAATTTGTAAGCAGTTTGGAGAGAAATGTCGCTTCTGTATCGAATTCAATCCTTTCGTTCAGTTTTCTATTCCAAGGATTGATAACGACCATAAGTTGTACGCCATGGAGTGCCTTTATCGACTTGTGAATTTGAAATTTTATGGGGTTAATTTGGAGAGACCAACAGCTGAATTCAAAGGTAGTGGAGTGCACTTCGAAGCTGGCTGCGAAGCTTGTGCGTTCGGGGGTGTCGTGCCAATCCACTTTTTCGCGGCATTCTTGTAGATAGAAAATGTGAATTCAATGCTAGCTTCAGGGATGACAAACCACGCTCGATTATCTGGCGGCTGTATTTTGGCGATGAAAAAAAATTTTATGAGCCAACGTTTGAAGATAATTTTAAGAAAGAAGTGTTTCTCCGAGCAGATCAACTGGCAACGGTGACTCAATCCTCTTTTGGCTCTCCGCCTAGAGAATGAAAGAGTCAGAATATCTTTTGTTATTCAATAGCTGATAAACTAGTGGTTGAAAACTCCAAACAGCTGCGCTACATAAAAATCTCTTCTATTCTATTAACTTGAAAAAATCTCTTCTATTCTATTAACTTGAAATTTCCTGAAATTTTAATTATCACATTGAGTTGCTGAAATTTATTTGGTAAAATGGTGTTAAAGAATTGATTAGCTTAGCTTAGATTCAATTTTCCATAAAAAAATATATATTTTTTTGCTGTTATTAAACAGTTTTATATATCCTATTTTTTCATGCTTGGAAAAATCGAAGTTAAGTCTGTCTAATCATCTGCTTCATACAAAGCAGCTGAGGTTCTGTAATATATCGTGAAGCAAACTTCTGGAAGCCGTTTTGATGAAATGGAGTCGGACCTGTTTATACAATTTAATCTTACACCACGAGGTGACTTTTTCCGGTGCCGAAAAGGGTTGACCTCAATATTCAAAGTAATAAGCTAATTTCGCTTGCGATCGGCAAATGTTATCAAATCAGAATAAATACTTTTTCCAGGCTAGCCACCTTTAACAAAAAAATGAATCATTCGGGGCAGCAGTTGGCATATATGTTCTGATGAAATTTCTTTTTGTTAACATATTTTCTGAGCTTGTCTGCATTTTTTAGCCGCCGCTCTGTTCGATGTTTTCAATTGCTGAATGTATATCAACTCCTATTATTTAATTTCTTCTGCTGAAAGGTTTTCGGCCTTAAGGATTAACAATTGTCCACCCAGGTAATTGCCTGCTTAGTTTCCGCTTGATCAGGCTGGTTTTTCTCTTGTTTTGAGTCTTATTTAGTGTAAAGTCTTCAAAAAATGTTTAAGTAACTTCTCATTTTGTTAATGTGTTTCTACCGTTACCGTATCAGTATTTAAGAGTCAATGAACATTGTTCAGACTCTTATATAGGTGATCTTTTTTTCAATTTTTTGTTCTCTCTCAAAATAGATTTTTTTGTACTTTGAATTTGATTTCGTTTTAAGTTCAGCTCGTTTCTTTTGTTAAAGGGAAGGCAAAATCCAATAACAAACTGCAAAAGTGTGAAGTTCACGAAAACGTGATCGAATCCTACTTTCGAGAGTGAAATTGAGTTCTCAGATTTACCAGCGGATTTAAAACGTTACTTAATAATTCAGTTTTCTCAAATTAGGTTAACTTTTATCAAAAAAAATGCCAGTCGTATATTGTTCTGAAATTCAAAGAGCTTTGATGCTATCTATTTTTTTAAAATTCGAAAGCCAGTGTTTTTTTTCTGTTTTCTTGTTTTCATTGACTCTTTCAACTGTCTGATGCCTATGTTTTTAGTTCACCAGTTGGTCAGCTCACAATATTATCATAGCCTTGAAGAATAAACAGTTGGATTTTTGCTGTGTGCAATATTTTCTGTGGTGCTACTCAGTTTTCTTTCAGTTCTACGTCATGAAATTGCGTAGGAGTTGATATACTTATAAAATTTGTCGAGCCTTTTTGGTTTAAGTAACTGCAAGCTATTTTAAGTTTTTAAGGAGAAACAAGTTTTTGAGGTCAAATTTCAAATTCTATCAATTAGATTTATACAGTTTGTGTGGGAAATTTTTTGGCAATATAGGATCCTCATGATGTTAAGGTGTTTAAGGCGATGTAAGCAAGGGTATTGCAATCGGTATAAGACTTGTTTTTTCACCGTAAATAACTGATCACAGGACTCATATCCTGGATTTGTTTATCTACTGGGCCTTTCTGTTGCAACAGACATTTTGAGCTTGTTAATAGGTTTCGGCTTATTGTATATCGACTAAGTGGCCTCTTAGTCCGTCGTTTAATGACCGAAAAAGTTTTTGTGTGTGTGTGTGTGTGAATTGTTTTATTAGTTTAGAAATTTTTGACATGAAGGGGGTTATTGAGAATACCGGCTTTGATACCGCTTGGTAAGTACAGTTTCAATTCAATCATCAATTCGGCGCATCTGGCGTAGAGGTAACAACTACTTCATACGGCAAAATTATGTTGTTCGAATCCGGCCGGGACCTGTTTTTTTTTTTTGCAAGCCAGAGTTTTTGGGCTTTTTCGGACTGTCGTCCGTCTGTTTTTTTTCGATTTTTCCCGTATCCCGACTTTTGTTGAAGGTTCAGCTTTCTTCCAATTTACTGTAACACCAATTCTTGAGACCACAAAGCCCGGGATTTTGGTTCAATATTTAGCCAGCTTAGATTATTGTCTGTCTGCTTTTTTTGACGGTTAAGTTCCTTAGAAAGTACTTTTTTGAAAATTTGGCTTTTTTCTAACATTTTGAAAGCTCCTTGTAAAGTTTCTAATGGTGTAGGTAGTTTTGTTTCTGATTTTTTTGGATATGTGATGTTAGTATTGAAAATTGATTTGACGAAAACGATTTTTTGAATATTTTTTAAGTTTCAATGAACGTAGTTCAGACTCTTATTATACGTCGTGATGTTTTTTTTGGTTTTTTACGGACTTGTGATTTCTTTTTCAGTTCAGTTCTTTTGCTTTATTAAAGGAAGGCAAACTCCCCTATGGAACAGCAAATTTAAAAAGGCCAGAAAAAACGCGGCCAGGGGGTATGCGGACGTCCATGTATCAACATAGGGAATAGATTTCCCAATGTATTAAGATAGGGAATAGAATTGGTAAGGTTTCATGGTTTGTCTGATGGTAAGAGAATGGTAAAAAAACGGTATTTTTTTTTAGATTTTGTGTGGAAATGTCTAGTTTTTTTCGCAAAG